GCACCTTTTTTTGAATTTTTTTCGTTTTCAACAGCGTTTTTCGGGGGTTTCGGATTTCTTTTGAATTTTTTCGCAATAATATTCGGAAAATAGATAACTTTTAACACATTTTCATACAATAAAAATTTTTGGTCGGAGTCCTCCTTTAAGGTGAATTTTTTTAAAATTAATTTTTTTTGAATGAAAACATACTTTAATCAGGGTTTTCATTACTTTTTCAACATTTTTTTCGGTTTATACTGTTCTTAATAGACTTCTTTTATTTTTCAGTGATTTTATACCTTCTCTCACTGAAAACGCTTGGTTTTTTTAGACTTTAGGTCATCAAAAGTTTTTCTTAAAATTGTTGGTTTTGCAGTGAGGTTTTGCAGTGGTTTTGCAGGTTTTGCAGAAAATTTTTCCAAACTTCTTTTTTTGCAACAGAATGTAAAATTGATGGGATTTCATCAACAAAATTCAAAAAATAATTAATACTTTTGTTACTTTTTGTTACTTGTGCTTGTTCATCTATTGTTTTCCATTTCATTTTTGTGCTTTTTGTTGTTTTTGTTGTTTTTGTCAAATAAACTGGTAATTTTTGACTAATTGAAATTCGAGAAAATTCGAGAACTCGATTTTCCGAAAAAAAAAAGTCGAGAAAAAATTCGAGAACTCGATTTTCCGAATTTGTTTTTCCGAACAAGCCTGATGAGTACATCCATTTTCGAAAACTTATTGACCTGTATCTCATTCCAGAGCTCCAGTCGCTATAATGCTACAAGCTGCGAAAAACGGCGAGAGCACTAAAGGTGGTTCGCATGAGAGTCTCGGATATCATGATTAATTTCGAAGTTCTAACTACTGCAATATGTCGCAATACCGAAGCTGGAATAAGAATTTAGCTCACATTTTATACTTATGTTGTTTCTATTCATTCGATTCAATAAATATTTGTTTTAATTAATTTGATTTGATTGCTTAATACGGGATGAAAATTTGAATTTCACTATGAGCGCGCGCAAACGACACTCCGCCGCTCGTTCGAACCAGGAGAGAAGCTGGAGAGAACACAGTGACATATCTGTTCGACCCAAAACCTCTCCCAGTTCGAACCGATATCTCTCCCAGTTTTCTCCCGTCGAATCAGCGATTCAAACCACAAAAATTGGCGCCAATTTTATGGCTTACTGTCGATCTCAAAGTCTGCAGTTGTACGCAACGGTGTACGCACACCGTAGTTGCTTCGAAAGTTCTTTTTTTTTGTCAATTCTTGCCGTTTTTCATCGATTTTTCTCAAATTTTCGCTGAAAATAAAGTTTTTTCATAAATTTCAGACAAAAATGCCGCGCGCCGATCGCGAATTCGTGCTGAAAAGCGTCATTGAGAATGTGTTGGCGATGAAGGAAAACGAGGATTTTTTGGGCGAGCCAGCGGAATATTTCAATGTTCCATGGTAGGTTTTTTGCTGAAAAAACGCTGAAAATCAATGAAAAATCGGAATTTTCGAGATGTTTTCATCAAAAATTATTTTTTTTTTTGAAAAAAATATTTTTTCGCAAAAAATTGTTTTTCTATTTTTTCCAATTTTTCCAGGGTCCTTGTTTTCCGCCGAGAAAACGGACACCTCTCGCTTTCTCTCAAATGCCTTCTGGACGACGAAAAAGCCCAAATTGCGCCTAATTGGGCAATTAAGGCCGAAGTGGAGCTGGCGGTGAAATCGGCCAACGGGGCGACCGCGAAAAAGAAGGAAACCTTCAGTTTTGGCTCGGAAATCCCAAAAAATGCCTATGGATTTCAAATTTTGGACTGGAATTCGCTTCAGAACAAATACGCGATCGATGGGAAGATTTTGGTCCAGGCCAATGTCTCAATTAAGGAAATGGCGGGAATTTCGAAAAAGGATTTGCGAAATTTCGACTATTCGAAGAGAGAATGGGCTGATGCAGTCGTAAAAGTCGAGGGAAGAGAGTTCCACGTGGCAAAATTGGTACGGTGGACATCTGGAGCGTTTTTCTTGCGAAAAACCAGCCTAGAACGGTGGTAAATCGATTTTCAGCCGAAAAATAAGTTAAGAATCTGAAAATTCCAGATAAAATGCCGCAGAAATTTGGAAATTTCGCTGAAAATCGCCGAAAATCGATTTGTGTCATTTTTAGCCTGAAAAAACGCTTTTTTATCGATTTTTTTTGGCTCGTTTCACTGCAAAAATTCGAATTTCCAGCCAATTTTTCATTTCAGACGATACTGCAAAGTCACAAAAATCGATTTTCAGCAATTTTAAGCCAAATTTTCGAAATTTTGAGTCAGTGTTTTTTTCTGAAAATCGTAAGTTTTTGGCTCATTTTTCAGCTCAAAATCTCATTTTTTGTTTAAAAATGAGCTGAGATTTTGAATTTGAGTCTAAAATATCTATTGAAAAAGAGCTATTTTTCAGATTTTTGAGTCATTTTTTTTCTGGAATTTTCAGACTTTCAGCTGCTTTCTAGTCAGAAAAATTGTGGTTTTTTCGATTAAAATTGGCCAAAAATAACCATTTTTTTCAGAAAAAAAAAATTATATATGCTAGTTTTTTTGTTGTGAAAATCGATTTTAGCCGAAAAATGGGCTAAGTATCTGAAAATTCCAGAAAAAGTTAACCTAGAATTTTTTTACCCCAGAAAATCGATTTTTTTGCTGAAAATTTGGCTAAAAATCTGGAATTTTGCAGCTTCTCGCCACCCAATCGACATATTTCCAATCGATGTTTTTTGGAAAATTCGAGGAATCCGAAAAAGCCGAAATCGAACTTTCCGAAATTCGCGCCGACGATTTTCAGAACTTTCTGGAGACGCTTCATGGCGAGCCGGCGATAGATGGTACGCGGAGCATATCGATTTTATCGATTTTTAGCCAAAGCTGAAAAATGAGCTTAAAATCTGAAATTTTCTCGAAAATCGGTTTTGGTCAGTTTTAGTGGAAAAAATCGATTTTCAGCTCATTTTCAATTGATAAAACCAATTTTCAGCTGAAAAATAAGCTAAAAATTTGAAAATTCCAGAAAAATGACCCAGAATTTTGGGAAATATCCTGAAAATCGATTTTTTGTCATTTTGTCATTTTGGCCGAAAAATCGTTTTTTTAGCTTGTTTTTGTGTTAAAAATCGATTTTGAGCTGAAAAATGAGCTAAAAATCTGAAATTTTCTGGAAAAATGACCCAAAATTTGGAAAAATTCGCTGTAAATCGTCGAAAATCGATTTTGTCATTTTTAGCCGAAAAAATCGATTTTTAGCCTGAAAAAAAAACGCTTTTTTAATCGATTTTCCGGCTATTTTCAATGCAAAAAATCGAATTTTCAGCCAAATTTCTTGTTTCAGACGACACTGTCGAAGGCGTTCTCCATCTGGCGGACATGTACGACACGCCGACGGCACGCCAGCGCAGCGAGGAATTTCTGATGAAGGAATCGGAAAAATCGATGAAGGAAAAGTTGCGAATTTCGACGAAATATCGATTGGATTCGCTAATTGTACGAATTTGTGCCTATTCTTGTCTTTTTTTTGTCATTTTTTTGCTTTTTTTTTTTGCTATTTTCCTTGAAAAATCAATAATTATGCGACGAGAGAGTGTGTGAAAATGAGGGATGCAGCGCTGCATTTGAATCCGATGATAGAGAGTGTGTGAGAATGAGAGACGCAGAAATTCGGGAGAGCAAACGCGCTCCATGGCTAAAACCGTTTTTTGAATTTTTCTTTGTTTTTTCGTCATTTTTATGATTTTTCAGGAAATTTTGATGATTTTTACAGCTTTTGGACTGACTTCTATTGAATTTTAGCTGGAATTTTCTGTTTTTTCTCTGAAAAATTCGAATTTTCCAGGACCAATGCCTCTCCCGGACACACACGATCGCCGAGATTCGAGCAGTTCTTCCTGGAAATCTCGAAGATTTGGATCATTCTGTCATGGCCGCGCTGTTCCAGAAAACGCTGTCTCATCATGCGATTTAAGCCAATTTTCAGCATTTTTTGGCTTAAAATGTCTCATTTTCCCCGATTTTTTTTTGCATTTTTCTCCCAAAAAATCGTCTTTTTTGATCAATTTTATGTGAAAATCTCTGATTTTTCTGCATTTTCGTTGAATTTATGTGTAAAAATCCCGATTTTATTGCATTTTTTGATCCAAAAATGTCCATTTTCTCGATTTTTGGCCCAATTTACTGCAAAAATTATGTTTTTTTCCTAGATTTTTGACCCGAAAAATCGCCTTTTTTTCTCGATTTTATGTGTAAAAACCCCGATTTTTTGGCATTTTATTTTTTCTCCGATTTTTCGATTTTCAAATCGATTACAATATCTGTATCCTTATCGATTTTCAGCTAAAATTTCAGATTTTTCCAGAAGCCGGTCTTTTCTCTCACCACTCAATCGGCTCCATTAATCCCTTGTATTTCCTCTACAAGGTAAAAATTGAAAAAAAAAGAAAAAAAATTGGATTTTTGGCAACTACCTAATAAAACAGCTGAAAATCTGAAAATTCCAGGAAAAATTGACCCAGGAATTTGATAAATTCACTGAAAATCGCCGAAAATCGATTTTAGCCTGAAAAAAATGCTTTCTAATCGATTTTTTGACTTATTTCACTGCAAAAATTCGAATTGCCAGCCAATTTTCCATTTCAGACGACACTGCAAAGTCACAAAAATCGATTTTCAGCGATTTTAAGCCAAATTTTCGAAATTTTGAGTTTTTTTTTCTGAAAATTGAAAGTTTTGGGCTCAATTTTGAGTGAAAAATCAATATTTTCGACTAAAAATGAGCTGAAATTTCGAATTTTAGCCTAAAATATCCATTGAATTGATCAAAAAAGACGATTTCTTGGGAGAAAAATGCTAAAAAATCGGGGAAAATGAGGCTTTCTAAGCCAAAAAATGCTGAAAATTGGCTTAAATCGCATGATGAGACAGCGTTTTCTGGAATAGCGCGGCCATGACAGAATGATCCAAATCTTCGAGATTTCCAGGAAGAACTGCTTGAATCTCGGCGATTGTGTGTGTCCGGGAGAGGCATTGGTTCTGGAAAATTTGAATTTTTCAAAACAAATTCACTTAAAAACCTGAAAATCGCCGAAAAATTCCAAAAATTCCAGCTAAAATAGCTAAAAATGAGTCGAAAAGCTCTAAAAATCATCAAAATTGCCAAAAAAAAAACAAGGGAAAAATTCAAAAAAAAAAACAGTTTTAGCCATGGAGCGCGTTTGCTCTCTCCCATTTCTGCGTCAATTTCTCGCTGAAAATCCGCAATTTTTCCCCATTTCCAGCCAAAAATGAACACCACCAACGTCACCACGACCATCAAGAATCTCGCTACGACCACCATCGTCACCACCACGGAGCCATTGTTCTCGAAGAAGGACGGCGCCTATTTCACGGTGATCATCCTGGTCCTGTTCTCCGTTTCGTGCTTCTTCTGCTTCCTTCGCGAGTGGAAACAAATCAAAAAGGAGGAGAAGGAGGCTGCCGCGGCGGCTGCTGGAAACCAGCAAGGAGGTGCAACCAATGACGAAGCTGCCATTCAAAATGTCTAATTTTTCATCGAGAAACACTGATTTTTGAGGGTTTTAATGCCAAAAATGACCCATTTTTCATTGATTTTTCTGTCCTTTTCGACCTATTTTTCACTAAAAAATTGACCCCTTTTGACCAATTTTTCAACTAAAAATCGATTAAAATCCTACTACAAACTGTCAAGAAATTGCTATTTTTGAGGAATTTTGAGCCAAAAATGACCCGTTTTTTTTATCGATTTTCGACCCCTTTCGACCCTTAAAATTTATTTTTTTGTAAATTCTCAATAGAGCACACTTTCATCCCCTCCCCCTTATATATTTGATATATGTTCACTATATTTTAATTTCTGCTTTTTTTTCTGCCCCTCACTTCCAATATGCTCTGCTCTTTACCGAATGATGAACGTCTTGTGAAATAATTCAATTTTTATCGATTTTTCTGGAAAAACGACGTTTTCAGCTGTAAATTCGAAAAAGAAATCTCGAAAAATTCGAGGAAGTTCGAAGAAAAACTATAGTGTAATGAACGTAAACCTAATTTTGCGAAATTTTATAAAATATATAAAACAAAACTAGAGCTTCATTTTTGCAGTTGACAACTTTTTTTTTCTAGCTACCGTAGTTTTTGAGCTATGCGCCTCCCCCTGTAAAGAAGGACCTTAGAACAATAGAAGCGCCGCCCCTCTGAAAAATGTATTTTTTGAAAATATATTTTCGCGAATTTTGTAAAAGAATCCGCCGAGGTGCCCTGTAATTGGAAGGCCCTCCGAGAGGGGCTTGGAACAATAGAAGGGCCCGTTCTGATACAGGGTTTACGGTGATTCTCTTGGAATCGCAAAAAATCTAAATACCGTGAAAACTGTATTAGAAGGGCCGGCCCGTTCTATTTTTCCAAGAGGGGCCCTTCAATTAGAGGGGGTCCTTTTATTTATCCGGCAATTTTTTTCGGAAATTTTTCATCGAAAATCAAGTTTTTTAATCAACAAATAGTTTTTTCAACAGCCCGATCTACTTATCCAAGCCCCTCCGGGAGGGTCCTCCTATTAGAGGGGCCCTTCTAATACAGGTTTTACGGTTTTAGTTTCAACATTCTTTTCCGAAATTAAAGACAATGGCTGTTACAGACAACGCTGCCTGTTAAAGGCGTCCATCATATTTCCAAATTGAACGAATCGTCGCTGTCGTCCTCGCCTTTATGTATGCAATCGAGCGTGCGCTTTCTCTTTGCCCGCGTGGCTCAGTCGGTAGCGGCGCCGCACCCTCAATCATCGCCCTCACAAGTTCAACTCCTCGAGGGGCATCTTTGAACGGAATTTCGAGAACATTATTTTTTTCATTTCCCCCTTTAAGGAAGACGAGAATCGAATGAAAAAGGTGAATATTTCGGTTGTGCGCTCTTCAAATTGTTGGGTGATTAAAATCAATTCTGACCAGTTTCAGACAGAAATCATAGGTTTTAGTAGTGGGGAAGGAAAGTTGATGGCCGTGGCCCCTTTTCTATGGCCAACACTTGGCCTTTTTTGGCCTAGACTTGGCCTTTTTTGGCCTAGAATTAACCTTTTTGGCCTAGAATTGGTCTTTTTTGGCCTAGACTTGGCCTTTTTGGCCTAGAGATTTCGAATTACCGAAATTTTCGAGAAAAAAGTTCCGAAAAAAATCATTTATTCAAATTTTCCCGCCAAAAATACGTTTTCAGTTTTCTCATAAATCCAATGATATACTCGATCCATGTCGATTTTGCACAGGCCGCCAGTAGCTTTGCATTTTCCGGAATTTCTGGAAAAATCCATACTTGTATATTTTTAAAAAAACTCGAAAAAAATTTTTTGATCGAAAAAAATCACATAAGGGTCCCCCCTTATGTGATTTTTTTTCGTTTTTTGAAAATTTCGAAACTTGCGGAATGGGCTCGGGCCGGGCCGGGCCTCCGAAAATCGGGAAAAAGCCGGCCCGGCCCGTTACAAGTATGGAAAAATCGACTTTTTTTTGAAAAATAGGAAATTCGGGATTACTGTAGGAGACACTTAATTTTTCGAATACAATGATTCAACACATTTATCAAGTTGAAATTCATTTTTGGAAGATTTGGGGTTCCGAAAATGTTGACTGCCTAAAATTTTTTTTCAAATTTTAATTTTTTTCTTTTTGAAATAAATCCTACCGTATCCTTCAATTTTTCGATATGATTTTTAGTTTGGTTTGGGAAGAATTTAAACGATTTTCGGATTACTGTAGCATTGCTCAAATCTGCCAACTGCACGTCAAATCGATAATGCAACAGCGCTCCATCGGAAGAATTTTTTTCGATTTTCGAAAAATCCAAAAAACTTCTGGCGAAATGAGTTTGAGCAATGTCGATAGTGGAGGCGTTGAAAATGTACTGAAATTTTGGAATTTTCGAATTTCAGAGAATTTTGAAAATTTTAGAATCTCAGAATCTCAGTATTTCAGAATCTCAAAATCTGAGAATCTGAGAATCTGAGAATCTGAGAATCTCAGAATCTCAGAATCTCAGAATCTCAGAATTTCAGAATCTCAGAATCTCAGAATCTCAGAATTTCAGAATTTCAGAATCTCAGAATCTCTGAATTTCAGAATTTCAGAATCTCAGAATTTCAGAATCTCAGAATCTCAGAATCTCAGAATCTCAGAATCTCAGAATCTCAAAATCTCAGAATCTCAGAATCTCAGAATTTCAGAATCTCAGAATCTCAGAATCTCAGAATTTCAGAATTTCAGAATCTCAGAATCTCAGAATTTCAGAATTTCAGAATTTCAGAATCTCAGAATTTCAGAATTTCAGAATCTCAGAATCTCAGAATCTCAGAATCTCAGAATCTCAGAATCTCAGAATCTTAGAATCTCAGAATCTCAGAATCCCAGAATCTCAGAATCTCAGAATCTCAGAATCTCAGAATCTCAGAATCTCAGGATCTCAGAATCTCAGAATCTTAGAATCTCAGGATCTCAGACTCTCAGAATCTCAGAATCTCAGAATCTCAGAATCTCAGAATTTCAGAATTTCAGAATCTCTGAATCTCAGAATCCCAGAATCTCAGAATCTCAGAATCTCAGAATCTCAGAATCTCAGAATCTCAAAATCTCAGAATCTCAGAATCTCAGAATCTCAAAATCTCAGAATCTCAGAATCTCAGAATCTCAGAATCTCAGAATCTCAGAATTTCAGAATCTCAGAATCTCAGAATTTCAGAATCTCAGAATTTCAGAATCTCAGAATCTCAGAATCTCAAAATCTCAGAATCTCAGAATCTCAGAATCTCAGAATCTCAGAATCTCAGAATCTCAGAATCTCAGAATCTCAGAATCTCAGAATTTCAGAATCTCAGAATCTCAGAATTTCAGAATCTCAGAATTTCAGAATCTCAGAATCTCAGAATCTCAGAATCTCAGAATCTCAGAATCTCAGAATCTCAGAGTCTCAGAATCTCAAAATCTCAGAGTCTCAGAATCTCAGAATCTCAGAATCTCAGAATCTCAGAATTTCAGAATCTCAGAATCTCAGAATTTCAGAATCTCAAAATCTCAGAATCTCAGAATCTCAGAATCTCAGAGTCTCAGAATCTCAGAATCTCAGAATCTCAGAATTTCAGAATCTCAGAATCTCAGAGTCTCAGAATCTCAGAATCTCAGAATCTCAGAATCTCAAAATCTCAGAGTCTCAGAATCTCAGAATCCAAGAATCTCAGAATCTCAGAATTTCAGAATCTCAGAATCTCAGAGTCTCAGAATCTCAAAATCTCAGAATCTCAGAATCTCAGAATCTCAGAATCTCAAAATCTCAGAATCTCAGAATCTCAGAATCTCAGAATCTCAAAATCTCAAAATCTCAGAATCTCAGAATCTCAAAATCTCAGAGTCTCAGAATCTCAGAATCCAAGAATCTCAGAATCTCAGAATTTCACAATCTCAGAATCTCAGAATTTCAGAATCTCAGAATCTCAGAATCTCAGAATCTCAGAATCTCAGAATCTCAAAATCTCAGAATCTCAGAATCTCAGAATCTCAAAATCTCAGAGTCTCAGAATTTCAGAATCTCAGAATCTCAGAATCTCAGAATTTCAGAATCTCGGAATCTCAGAATTTCAGAATCTCAAAATCTCAGAATCTCAGAATCTCAAGAATCTCAGAATCTCAGAATCTCAAAATCTCAAAATCTCAGAATCTCGGAATCTCAGAATCTCAGAATCTCAGAATCTCAGAATCTCAGAATCTCAGAATCTCAGAATCTCAGAATCTCAGAATCTCAGAATCTCAGAATCTCAGAATCTCAGAATCTCAGAATCTCAGAATCTCAGAATCTCAGAATCTCAGAATCTCAGAATCTCAGAATCTCAGAATCTCAGAATCTCAGAATCTCAGAATCCAAGAATCTCAGAATCTCAGAATTTCACAATCTCAGAATCTCAGAATTTCAGAATCTCAGAATCTCAGAATCTCAGAATCTCAGAATCTCAAAATCTCAGAATCTCAGAATCTCAGAATCTCAAAATCTCAGAGTCTCAGAATCTCAAAATCTCAGAGTCTCAGAATTTCAGAATCTCAGAATCTCAGAATCTCAGAATCTTAGAATCTCAAAATCTCAGAATCTCGGAATCTCAGAATCTCAGAATCTCAGAATCTTGGAATCTCAGAATCTCAGGATCTCAGAATCTCAGAATCTTAGAATCTCAGGATCTCAGAATCTCAGACTCTCAGAATCTCAGAATCTCAGAATCTCAGAATCTCAGAATTTCAGAATTTCAGAATCTCTGAATCTCAGAATCCCAGAATCTCAGAATCTCAGAATCTCAGAATCTCAGAATCTCAGAATCTCAAAATCTCAGAATCTCAGAATCTCAGAATCTCAAAATCTCAGAATCTCAGAATCTCAGCATCTCAAAATCTCAGAATCTCAGAATCTCAGAATCTCAGAATCTCAGAATCTCAGAATTTCAGAATCTCAGAATCTCAGAATTTCAGAATCTCAGAATCTCAGAATCTCAGAATCTCAGAATCTTAGAATCTCAGAATCTCAGAATCTCAGAATCTCAGAATCTCAGAATCTCAGAATCTTGGAATCTCAGAATCTCAGAATCTCAGAATCTCAGAATCTCAGAATCTCAGAATCTCAGAATCTCAGAATCCAAGAATCTCAGAATCTCAGAATTTCACAATCTCAGAATCTCAGAATTTCAGAATCTCAGAATCTCAGAATCTCAGAATCTCAGAATCTCAAAATCTCAGAATCTCAGAATCTCAGAATCTCAAAATCTCAGAGTCTCAGAATCTCAAAATCTCAGAGTCTCAGAATTTCAGAATCTCAGAATCTCAGAATCTCAGAATTTCAGAATCTCGGAATCTCAGAATTTCAGAATCTCAAAATCTCAGAATCTCAGAATCTCAAGAATCTCAGAATCTCAGAATCGCAGAATCTCAGAATCTCAAGAATCTCAGAATCTCAGAATCTCAGAATCTCAAAATCTCAGAATCTCAGAATCTCAAAATCTCAGAGTCTCAGAATCTCAGAATCCAAGAATCTCAGAATCTCAGAATTTCAGAATCTTAGAATCTCAGAATTTCAGAATCTCAGAATCTCAGAATTTCAGAATCTCAGAATCTCAGAATCTCAGAATCTCAAAATCTCAGAATCTCAGG